ACGTAGCTTTGACATATAACTTATCTAAAGTAATCCCTGCACACCTGTATGCATTATGCTTGCTATACACGCGGACACAGGCATATCATTTATTTTTTGCCATGTCCATTAATTGTTCAATAATTTTACTCACGGTATTTAATTTGATGTTGTGTTATATAGAATTGGAATTAAACTTATAAGGATGCTTAGACGTTGCATTATAAAAGTTTATGTACTAAGTATTTAAGACATTGGCATATGATTATAGCTTGACATTATTAAAAATTAATTAATTAATTAAATCTCACACAATACTTATTCAAGACATTTTTTTTTTTTACTAAGATAACCAAAGGAATGCGAACAAAATAATACTTAAAATATAAGACTTAGAAGTAATATGATCCAATAGTTACATATAGTACACTAAGTTCCTAAATTATATAACTTTAAAAAAAAAAAGTTACGAAATTTGGAAATAATTTTATTTAATCATATTTTCATAATAATGAAATACTGTTTATTTCAGTGGCGAAAAGAGATAATACGATTTTATAGTGATAGAATATCCTTGAAATATCTAAAGATAAAATTAGAAACTTTCTCTTTTTTTCGCTGTAAAGCTATATGACTTAAAAATAACTTATACGCAAAGTATATTGCAGTGGAAACCCAAGAGTATAGTAGCCATGTAATCTCGGGTTCGAAACTACACGCCGCGCACGTAGTCAGATGGTCTGAAACTTGTCTGGGGCTGTTTGTTGACGGATGGAGACTTCACTAAGTGGCGTCAGGCGATGCGCACACACGGGACTCAATCCCGTAGCATGTTATGTGTCGTTCGAAACTCGTGCGTTCGAGATTTACGCCACATTGCCGGCTGGTCCAAGGACGTTATCTACCAGATGATACGGTCCAATTCGTAAGTTTGACTCACATAGTCGCGAACCGCGGAGCTGGAGAACAATAATTACCGGATGATTAGTTGACCATACGCACTATCATGCTCCGTGACTCAGTTTCCGCCATGGAGTTCTCACAGCCCCGTGTGTACCATAACTGCAGTAAGTAAGGACCTTGTTCGGAGGCCGACTCGTATTTCATATGATCTTAGTCTCGCCACCTTATCGCACGAATTGGGGGTGTCTTTTAGCCGACTCCGGCACGATCCGCCGGGAAGTTACTCGACCAGTTGCGCGCCCTAGTATGTTCGTATTACGTTCGATGCGTAAGCACCCCAGAGATTTTTGGCGGACGTTTCGGTAAATCATAGTAGAACCGGAGCGGTAAAGCTATTGATAACACGCAGGGACGAGCCAGTCGTCTAAGCTCCTCAGGGGTACCGTTCGCCGGACTACAGCCTGTCCCCGGCGGCCGCAACTGGGCTGCGATCCAGCCCCCGCTCCAAAAGGATGACTCGACCTTGCGCCTCGCGTACTCTGCTCTCGAGCTGTCTCCGTGGGCAATGCCGGCTCACGCTGTGGGGAACCCTGGACGCCCGGGCCGAGCCGACTGGCCCCGCCCACGCTGTGGCAGCTATGTACCCTGTGCTGGCCCGGGCCCGCGCCGGCCGATCGGTGGCCGGCCCCCGGGCCTTTTCTTTTTTCGTCGATCGCAGCTATGTACCCTGTGCTGGCCCAGCGCTACTGCGCTACGGGGGGGGGGGGGGGGGGGGGGGGGGGGGGGGGGGGGGGGGGGGGGGGGGGGGGGGGGGGGGGGGGGGGGGGGGGGGGGGGGGGGGGGGGGGGGGGGGGGGGGGGGGGGGGGGGGGGGGGGGGGGGGGGGGGGGGGGGGGGGGGGGGGGGGGGGGGGGGGGGGGGGGGGGGGGGGGGGGGGGGGGGGGGGGGGGGGGGGGGGGGGGGGGGGGGGGGGGGGGGGGGGGGGGGGGGGGGGGGGGGGGGGGGGGGGGGGGGGGGGGGGGGGGGGGGGGGGGGGGGGGGGGGGGGGGGGGGGGGGGGGGGGGGGGGGGGGGGGGGGGGGGGGGGGGGGGGGGGGGGGGGGGGGGGGGGGGGGGGGGGGGGGGGGGGGGGGGGGGGGGGGGGGGGGGGGGGGGGGGGGGGGGGGGGGGGGGGGGGGGGGGGGGGGGGGGGGGGGGGGGGGGGGGGGGGGGGGGGGGGGGGGGGGGGGGGGGGGGGGGGGGGGGGGGGGGGGGGGGGGGGGGGGGGGGGGGGGGGGGGGGGGGGGGGGGGGGGGGGGGGGGGGGGGGGGGGGGGGGGGGGGGGGGGGGGGGGGGGGGGGGGGGGGGGGGGGGGGGGGGGGGGGGGGGGGGGGGGGGGGGGGGGGGGGGGGGGGGGGGGGGGGGGGGGGGGGGGGGGGGGGGGGGGGGGGGGGGGGGGGGGGGGGGGGGGGGGGGGGGGGGGGGGGGGGGGGGGGGGGGGGGGGGGGGGGGGGGGGGGGGGGGGGGGGGGGGGGGGGGGGGGGGGGGGGGGGGGGGGGGGGGGGGGGGGGGGGGGGGGGGGGGGGGGGGGGGGGGGGGGGGGGGGGGGGGGGGGGGGGGGGGGGGGGGGGGGGGGGGGGGGGGGGGGGGGGGGGGGGGGGGGGGGGGGGGGGGGGGGGGGGGGGGGGGGGGGGGGGGGGGGGGGGGGGGGGGGGGGGGGGGGGGGGGGGGGGGGGGGGGGGGGGGGGGGGGGGGGGGGGGGGGGGGGGGGGGGGGGGGGGGGGGGGGGGGGGGGGGGGGGGGGGGGGGGGGGGGGGGGGGGGGGGGGGGGGGGGGGGGGGGGGGGGGGGGGGGGGGGGGGGGGGGGGGGGGGGGGGGGGGGGGGGGGGGGGGGGGGGGGGGGGGGGGGGGGGGGGGGGGGGGGGGGGGGGGGGGGGGGGGGGGGGGGGGGGGGGGGGGGGGGGGGGGGGGGGGGGGGGGGGGGGGGGGGGGGGGGGGGGGGGGGGGGGGGGGGGGGGGGGGGGGGGGGGGGGGGGGGGGGGGGGGGGGGGGGGGGGGGGGGGGGGGGGGGGGGGGGGGGGGGGGGGGGGGGGGGGGGGGGGGGGGGGGGGGGGGGGGGGGGGGGGGGGGGGGGGGGGGGGGGGGGGGGGGGGGGGGGGGGGGGGGGGGGGGGGGGGGGGGGGGGGGGGGGGGGGGGGGGGGGGGGGGGGGGGGGGGGGGGGGGGGGGGGGGGGGGGGGGGGGGGGGGGGGGGGGGGGGGGGGGGGGGGGGGGGGGGGGGGGGGGGGGGGGGGGGGGGGGGGGGGGGGGGGGGGGGGGGGGGGGGGGGGGGGGGGGGGGGGGGGGGGGGGGGGGGGGGGGGGGGGGGGGGGGGGGGGGGGGGGGGGGGGGGGGGGGGGGGGGGGGGGGGGGGGGGGGGGGGGGGGGGGGGGGGGGGGGGGGGGGGGGGGGGGGGGGGGGGGGGGGGGGGGGGGGGGGGGGGGGGGGGGGGGGGGGGGGGGGGGGGGGGGGGGGGGGGGGGGGGGGGGGGGGGGGGGGGGGGGGGGGGGGGGGGGGGGGGGGGGGGGGGGGGGGGGGGGGGGGGGGGGGGGGGGGGGGGGGGGGGGGGGGGGGGGGGGGGGGGGGGGGGGGGGGGGGGGGGGGGGGGGGGGGGGGGGGGGGGGGGGGGGGGGGGGGGGGGGGGGGGGGGGGGGGGGGGGGGGGGGGGGGGGGGGGGGGGGGGGGGGGGGGGGGGGGGGGGGGGGGGGGGGGGGGGGGGGGGGGGGGGGGGGGGGGGGGGGGGGGGGGG